CCGTGGGAAGCAATAGGCGTATGTTTTAAAACAAGCGCCTATGAACAAGATGGTTCATGACTTTAGGCATCGGTTCTTCATAGTTGCCTATGTTAACTATAGGTGTCCGTTCCTTCCAAAAACACAAACGCCTATTCTAATATTTGTTTCTTTTACATTTTGACATAGAGGCGTTTGTCTTTTGTCAAGAACAGATGCCTATAGTATAAATTTAAAAAAATTTAAAATACGAATAGACTTTAGTTCCTTCCTTAAGAATATATATACGCCTATTCTCTTTTTGTATTTTCTCATTCTCCCTACCACAATATATTTGATTTCAAGAATATTTAACATAATTTAATTCAATAACCATCCATCACAATCCATTCGATCAATTCATCAACATAATATCCTACTTAAATAAAATATATAAAATATAATATCCACAATATACGCCAACAATCAAATTCTTAACCATCCACAACAATTCATTCAATCCATCAACATAATATCCTACTTAACTAGGACACAATATAAACTAACAATCAAAGTCTTAACTATTTCAGCATACACACAATATTATACATATAGACTTTAGTGGTATCTAATTTCTTGAAATTTCAGCAAGTTCTTTAATTTACTACTTGCTTGTAACAAATAGGGGTTGTAGTTTCTTTAAATAGCTAATGCAATTCTAAGATAGTATATATGCTATAAGAGTGGCAATATAATAAGTACAGAAATAGTCATTCGCGTCCAAAGAAATGTATAATTCGCGTCGAAAGTTGCTTGGACGCATATGCAGGAGACGCAGATTGAACAATCTGTATCCAAAGTGAAATCGGACGCACATAGTAATTGTATTGCGCCAAAGTTGAACAACTTTGGACGTATATAGTCATTTTTAAAAAAAATACAATATGCTTCAGTTTCTGACTAGGAACTGACGCATATTGTCCTGCTGTTAAAAAAATTAATTTTTCTATAAAACGACAAATATTTTTCGTGTACATTCCAACATAACTATCAACAAATAATATACTTCCACATTAATCAATTTAAGATATACACTACACCATACCACACCACACCAATTCTATCAACTACAACACACCAATTCAAAATTTCAATTCTAGTAACACTTTAGAGTTAATACCTCCAATGGTCCTCTGAGTATCAGCAATTTACCCGCTGTGGTCATCCGATTTTTAAATGACCTCCAATGGTCTTCCATGTTTTAAAAAATAATCACCCGTGGTCCTTTTAGAACGTGATCATTTTAAACTTTGTTTTTTTTAAGAATTAAGACCATGCGTAGTTAATTTTTTAAAACATGGAGAACCATTGGAGTTCATTTAAAGCAAAAAAGTAGAAAGAACCAACCTCTTATGATGAAGTTTACGGACTCTTTTTTGCCTTAGAAACAAAAGAAGCGGATCTTCGATCTAGACTAGTATTTCTAACAATGAAAAGAAGTGTTTCTACAAGCATGCCAACAACCAGTCCAAGGATGCCACCAGCACTCTGAAAATAGAATAGGAGTGGTGTCAATTATAGTATTATACCAAATAAGAATTAATTAACTGGCTATGATGTGCAAACTCTAGGCAAGTGGTGGTCAGTTATTAAGTACTCTAAGTTCATTCAAGAATAACATTATTGTTTTTGTTATTAACTGGTGACACAAAGTAGAAAGAGCTTTAAAGAATAACATATTATTTCCATGGAATGGCAGTATTCATGCAAAGCTAACAAAAAGCAACAGAGTAAAGCATGCACAACCGATAGTTGTATTGGTTGTGCATATATAAGAACTGCATAGAGCAATCAACCATTTAAAAGAATAAGGAAACTCATATTCTAACATATTGTTTTAAATTACTTGCCCCAATCATTTTATCCATGTAGAAGTCCTTGGCATTATCTTCATCTGTACCTCTTACACTTTTGGGTGTGGAAAACAGCAGTCAAAGTTTCTGTGATTAGGCAACAAAGTAAAAGTATTTAAAAGGTTTCCACAACCATTTCTGTAGCAGCGCAGTATCATTTGGCACCGCGAGACAGACCGCCGTTTTCACTACGACCGCTCCGTGACACCACTGTGAAAAGACTGTAGTTTTCACAGCAACATCGTACTCTGCGTCTATGGTTTTTCCCTCATCTCACTACACTACACTACAATAGAATTTTCTCTACTTCTAATCTCACTATTTCATCATAATACCTAGGTTTAATCTCTGCAAAATCCTAGCTAGTGGAAGTCATCCAAAGGACAAGCTTACAAGAGACGATTCATGTCCAGATAAATAAAAACCCTAATCAACTAATCTCGACCCAAGCATTCATGTATAAACTCCATATTTGATATCATTTGGATGATTTTTGCTCTCATTAGGTTTTTTTAAAGATGGGGCACGGTGGTTATTCATTAGCAAACACAAAAGTTCTGCGTATGGTTAACACCCTCGGAGTTGATAATGAAACAAAACAAACTACAGAGTCTCTGCAGAATGAGTTGCAGAAGACAGGAGAAGTTACAGGCCGTTGAAGAGTTGAAGAAACAATCAGGTATTTTTAGGTTTTGTTTTAAAGTTGTGTGATTTTTTTATGTTCTACTCCTGTTCATAAAAAATTCAAATAATTTTTGCTACTATGCTTAGATTGTCACCATTATATATATATATATATATATATATATATATATATATATATATATATAACCCTATATAGATTTAAGATCATATGAGAACATGTGCTTAGGTGAGAACATGAGAACACATCACGTACATCCATCTAATATTTTTTAATGGTCTAAATTAGATTAAGTGTGTGCGAACGCGCTTTAAATGTGTGCAAACGCGATTTAGTGTGTTTGCACATATTTAATGTGCGTTCACACAAACTTAATCTAATCTAGACCATTAAAAAATATTAGATGGATGCACATGATGTATTTTCACGTTCTCACCTAAGCACATGTTCTCACTGGAACCCCACCCTATATATATATATATATATATATATATATATATATATATATATATATATATATATATATATATATATATATATATATATATATTGAATTTCTACTTTAGGGCCAGATTTTTTCATTTTTTCACATTACTTCTCAACTTCTAGAGTCATTCTTCTAATTCTTGCTTCTTATTTAGTTGTTTTTGTTGAAAGGCACTTGATAGTGTACATAAGTTCTTCTTTTGCTTGTTTTTTTATCTTGAAATAAATAGTGTGAGTGAGTTGTCGAAATGAGATAAATATATGATACTATCTTCAGGCCGGTCCAATTATTTTATAGGCCTTGGGCGTAGCAACAAAAATGGGCCCTATATGAAATTAATATACTCATTCCGTTTCATTTTGTGTCTGGTTCGATTAACGAGGCTTAACTGAAATTATTTTTAGTTCAATTTTTCATAATATTAAGTTTAGTATTGGTATACAAAATTTATATATTTAGAAACTACACTAAAAGTACTATTAAACACACACACACACAAATTAAAAATAAGCAAAATATACTAAAGAAAATAAAATTAAAACAAAAAAGAATTAGTTTGACCAATGAATAGTAAGTAGAACAGATAAAATAGGACAGAGGGGGTACATTTTTATAACTAAAATTTAAATTAAATAATGAAAATACTAGTGTCAAATAACTTGTTTTTTAACAATTTTACACACACATAAAAATAATTTCAGATGTTTTCCAAAATCCAAATTAATCAATAACCGCATTAGTGCCTTCATAAGTAAACAATTATAATTTATAAAAACAAATAAACAATTTGAAACCAAATAAGCTTATACGCAATCAAATTATTAAAATAATAAATAATAAAATAATTATTATCAAAAATTTATAAAACAAAACTTATAAACAAGAGCCGAGCATGAAATATTAATTATTGAGAACAATAAATCAGAACACTTTAAATGTGATAAAAGATATTCATAATAAAATATGAAACATAATTAATTTGATAAAATAGTTTGAATAGAAAACACATTATAAATCACATATCTTCTATATTGATAAATACTTTTTCTTTTAGTTTTATTATAAGAGAAGGAGATACACACATATACAAGATCGCATCCACCGAGGCTCGAATCCACATATACTTTTTCTTTTAGTTACATCAATTTCAAGTTTTTCTAGATTAATTTAAATACAATGACACACAATAGAATTTCTAAACTACATTAACTAGATAATTCATAATAAAAGTAACTATCTTTTAAAATATTTGTCGGTCTATATTATAAATCTCACTGTAATTATAGAAAGGTAAAAATAGAGAGTAAGTTTAATTTAAATGAATGCATAAGGATTTACCCCCCAGAACTTTTAACATGGAAACAAAGAACATTATCAACTAAGCTAACTAACAATTTGGTAATAGATATATGTATATTAAATACTTATGCAATAACTCTATAGTATAAATATAACATAGTGAGCTGGGCGGGGGCCCCCTTCCAAGCGTGGAACCTAGCAAGGGCCCAGGGGCCCAGCCTGCCCTTGCCCAGGGACGGGCCTGACTATCTTCTGTTCTGTTTTATGTCAACAAGTTGTCAAAAAAGTCAAACTTGGTATTATCTATCTTCTCCAGGAATGCTCGGTGTTTTATTTTCTTTTTTACACTTGTAGAAGTGGAGTCACAGTACACTGGTTCTAGGATTGAGGGAGATGTTGTAACTTCAGAGTTTGTGAAGAAAATGATGGAGGACTTCAAAAGCCAAAAGAACTTACATAGAAGGATTGTTGACTTTGTCGATGGAGGATCTTTCTCTGTTGAAGTCATATTGACTTTATTTGCTTTCAAATGCTTGTGCCCATCAGGTAACTCACTTGTCTCCAACTAATTGTTCTGGCATAGAATTAGTGCAATTTATGTATAGCAACTTCTTTTTAGAATTCCAATGAGTTATTAAATGACACTGATTTTAAATTTCCAGCTATGTATCTCTCTCAAGGAAATCATGAAAGCAAGATCATGAACCAAATATATGGTTTTGAGGGCGAGGTCAGGTCCAAACTAAGTGACACTTTTGTGGAGTTTTTTGCTCTAGTATTCTGCTTTTTACCCTTAGCTCATGTGATAAATGGGAAGATATTTGTTGTCCATGGAGGCCTTTTCAGCATTGATGGTGTTAAGCTCTCTGATATTAGAGCTATTGACCGGTTTTGTGAGCCACCAGAAGAGGGTAAGCTCTCTATGTATATTTTGTTTTTGCAAGAATTCTAGCATGTTGATTACTTTTTCTTCTCTTGGTCACTTGGTCCCCATTGATAATTGCGCACAAAGAAGATTTGATACATTTCTATGTGAATTTTTTGCAATTTTTATTCATGTGGCATTACTGTAGCACAATATATCCTTTGGGAATGAACTTCATTTGAAACATTAGCAAATGTAGGCAATTCTTAGTTTGGTTAAAGGAAAGTCAGCTCTTGATGCATATGAAATAGAACATTTGTTAGAGAATTCAATCTTTGATAGTCATGTCAGATTGAGGCTAGAGATCTTTTTACAATCATTTGACTTGTATGATCCAGAAGAGGTCCTTGACTTAATTGAAGGTTCTGAGTTATAGATGAAGAAGGTACTGAGTTGCTTCATTTATGCTCAAATCATATTTTTTAGTATGGTGGAAAAATGGCCCTTGAATTAGAAGTCTGTTGCTTATTTTCACTATTTTTCTAACTTGATTGTCAGACTATTCTTTACCAGAAGCACTGGTCCTCCAAATTTTGGCAATGTAAGTATGTAGGCATAATTACTTTTCTGTGTAATTGTATTATCTTTTGATTATCATGATCGAGAATTAATGTCAAGCTTGATTATGAAAAAGAAATATTTTCAGTTCATTAATTGTAAGTATAGTATCATACTATGAAGTTCATTTTGTTACTGTTTCCTGATAGAAAGCTAGAGGACTGTGAAAAGTATTGTGCAAATGTTGGTAGACCAGATGCATATATGAAATGAAACTGCAGTGTACATAAAATGAAACTGAATAACATTTCACATATTTGAGTGTATATTGTATAATGAAGCTGTAATTATATCAAAATGATCATGTAGTTGTGTTTTATTAAAACTATAGTGTATATAAAATAAAGTTAAATAACATTTTCACATATTTGAGTCTATAAATATCGAATGAAACTGTAGTTATATCGAAGTGAAACTTTAGTTGTGTTGAACTGACACTGCAGTGTATACAAAATGAAACTGAATAACAGAGTTACTTTTTGCGGAAGGGTGCGTAACGGCGAGAAGCGAACAATATTTCTTTTCATTAAATCAAACGACGTCATTTTGATGCGCGGTGCACGATATAATTTGCGGGACTCTTCTCTCCCATTTATGGCAGAGGCCATGACAAAGAAAGGGAAATTAGGAAAGGAAAATCAAGAAAAATTCAGCCTTTTCAAGCTATAGAACTAAGAAAAGAATTTGAGTAATTGTTCATCTTCAATTCTTTTTATTTGTGAATTACCACTTCTTTATCAAGCATTATTCATATATTTTGATTTTTTATTCTTTTTGTTTTTCGGAATGTTATTTTCAATGGAAATTATGTTGGGAAACCTCTGGTATATGAATATGATGAAGTTACCGTACTCTCTAATTGTAAGTACATGTTATGTCATTTAATTCAATGCTTTGTAAGTTAAAATGGTGAGTGATAGGCTAAGAGTTAAAAGGGACCCGAAATAGGCAAATTATTGTATGGACCATGGTCCACATAGTGCTATGTGAACCATAATAAAAAGTATATTTTTAATATATTAAAAATATATTATTTGTGTATTGAAGGTACATTATATAAAATAATGTACTTTTAGTTCTCAAACAATGTGTTTTTCTTGAATGTAATGTACATTTTTAATATGCTAAAAGTATATTATTTGTGTAGTGAATATACATTATTTGATAGTATGGTCCACAGAGCTCTGTGGACTATGGTCCACACAATAATGATTGTCCAAAATAAGAGTTGATAAACTACATAAGATTAATTTTGATAATGAATTCATATTCATAGTATTTTTCTAATTACTAAATTGCTTGTCTGCATTCTTCTGTTTGTTGGCTTGATTCTTGAATTTCATTCTTTTTAAGTGGTTTAGTGATTAGATTTAGTTTTTTTTTTTTTTTTTCATAAATCAATTTTGGATTTTCTAATTATTTTATTAAGTTATGAGTTGTTCTTCGATCGACCCTTATTTATACACACTGGTACAGTGGTACAACACAATTTGTGCATATAATTACTACTAGTAATATATTACGTGTTTATTTTCAGTATTCATGTTTATTTTTAATAAATTTATTATATTTTAATTGAAACTCATTTTTAGTGTACTACTTGAAAATAAACTAGTCAATAATTCACACTAAAATTAGTTACCTTAAGCTCCGAATATAATAAGTTTGAGTTAATACCTCTAATGGGTCCACCGAGTATTAGGGGTTTATTAGCTATGGTTCTCTGAGTTTTAAATGACCTCCAATGATCTTTCATGTTTTAGAAAATAACCACCCGTGGTCTTAATTCTTAAAATAATATGAGTTTAAAATGACCACGAGACGTTCTAAAAGGACCACGGGTGGTCAGGGACGGAGCCAGAAATTTGGTTGGGGGGGGGGGGGGGGGGGGTCGAAGCAGTAAGGACAGATTTAGAAAATTTTTTCAGTAAAAACGAAACATTAAAACAAAAGAAATAAATTAATAAATAAATAAATAAATAAATTACATAAGAAATATAGTTGTAAATATTGTTGGATATGTGCGAAAAATAAAATACATCGAAACTTACCCATAATAAATTACACACATTAGGAGTCAAAAAACTGTAAAACTATAAGATACCAAAGGATTTGAACCCTTAACATTTACTATTACCAAACATGTGCTCTACCAACTAATCTAATTCATTTCTTGTTAACATTTAATAGTTTTTTTTATACTAATACTAAAACATGCACTATATATATACATATATACACATATTATATATGGGGTGGGGGTGGAATGAGGGGGGCAGCTGCCCCCTGCCCCCTTTGACTCCGTCTCTGCGGGTAGTTATTGTTTAAACTTTAAAACATGAAAGATCATTTAAAACTGAAAAAATCACAGCTGGTAAACCCTAATACTCATATGATCATTGGAGGTATCTCTAAAAAGTTTATAAGAAGTGTGCTACATTCTCTCCTTAAACCGGCAAAGAATTCAGATAAATGGGAATGATAGCAAACAACTAAAAGAGAAAAAAAAAATGATTAATATTCAGTGAGCACAAAGGCAGGCCACAGGAAAGCAGATATGCACCACCACTGATTAAAAAAATACTCCTATTTTCATTCAACATCAACAATGCTGGAACATGATTGGCATTGCCAAAAGAATGTTAACAAAAAAAAAACAAAAAAAAAAAAACAATTTCCATCCAATAACCGGATTCCAGTTCCATAGAGCATATGAATCAATAAAATAGTACAACATAAAAATTGGAAAAATTAAGTCTAATCCCTACCTACTAACAAGTTAATCTCCAGTGAAATTCTAGTTATATTGAAATGAGCTATAGTTGTGTTGTAATGCAACTATAGTGTATATAAAACATGGTTGCAATAGGCGCTAGGTGTTAGTCGGGCGGTAGAGTAGCGCCTAGCGCCTAGCGGGGGCCTAGGCGGTCTAGGCGGCTAACTAAAAAAAAAAAAAAAGAAAAACAGTGCACATGTGAAGGTACATATATGTCATATTATGCATACATATATATATACACCCACATACACACACACATACACACATACATACATATATATATATATATATATATATATATATATATATATATATATATATATATATATATATATATATATATATGTCATATACATGAAAAAAAAAAAAAAAAAAAAAAACAAGGCCGAGTCGGCCAGGTTAACTTGGCTAACTCGACCAAAATGGACGAGTTAACTTGGCCGAATTCGGCCTACTCGGCCGAGTTAGGCGCTAGGCGGGCGCCTAGGCGGCCGGTCGCCTAGGTGGGAACCTACGGGGAAAATCGCCATGGTCTAGGGGCGCTTAGCGCCTAGGCGGCGATTAATCGGTGCCTAGGCGGGATTTTTGCAACACTGATATAAAATGAAACTGAATAACAGTTTAACATATTTGATGTATAATGTCGAATGAAACTGTAGTTATCTCAAAATAAAATTGTAGTTGTGTTGAAATGAAACTGCAGTGTATATAAAATGAAACTGAATAACAATTTCATATATTTGAGTGTATATTGTCCAATGAAATTGTAGTTATATTGAAATAATAATGTAGTTGTATTGTAATGAAACTATAATATATATAAAATGAAATTAAATAACAGTTTCACATATTTGAGTGTATAATGTCGAATGAAACTGTACTTATATATCGAAACGAAACTGTAATTGTGTTGAAATGAAACTACACTGTATATAAAATGAAACTGAATATATTATATTATACAAACAAAGTTACTTTTTGCGGAACGGCGCAAAACGAGTGCTGTTTCTTTTCATTAAAACAGAACGACACCGTTTTGATCTCTAGACTACAATACATTGTAGACCGCAGTCCACAGTAAAATTTTCGCCCTCATGTCCCATTCCAACATTAATCAATTATTCAATTGTTATACGGTTCAATATGGCGCACATTGCAAGATGTATCATTAATATATAGGTTCATTTTTTTTCTAATCAATATTTCTAAAATTGAATAAAAATCAATGCATTAGTTGTTAACTAGAATAAAAATTCTGTTGCAATTTAAAAAAAAAAAAAAAAAAAAATTGTGTTGCAAGGAGTATTGATGGCAATCGTTATGCCATGGAACCGTGTTCACGGTTCCAACAGTGTTAGTACACCATTATCTCTTTTTTTTTTTTTCTTAATTAATTGCGTGACTTTTCTTCATCATTTTCACATTTCGCGGTTTCACTTTAATTTGAAGTGAGCAATGATTTCGGATATTCATAAATTATGAATTCATGCCTGCACATTCACTTTGGAACCATGCATACACATTCCCGTCCGAAATGGCAGACATTCATAAATTATGAATCCATGTCTGCACATTCACTTTGGAACCATGCCTACACATTTGCTTTGGAACCATGAGATTATGAATTTTCTGTTATGAGATTATGAATTTTCAGTTATGAGATTATGAATTTTCTGTTATGAGATTATGAATTTTCTGTTATGAAATTATGAATTTTCTGTTATGAGATTATGAATCTACATTACATTCATAATCTCATAACAGAAAATTCATAATTTAATAAATATTTTACTTTTATGCGATTATGAATTTTCTGTTATGAGATTATGAATTTACATTACATTCATAATCTCATAACAGAAAATTCATAATTTGATCAAACGCGCGCGCCGTTAACTCCACATCCGCGAATTTTTATTTTTATTTTTTTTTGCGTAAAAATGACGTCGTTTGGACTTGTGTTCACCATTCACGGTGAACACGTTTCCAGGGCATAATTTGCGGTATTGATGGTTGTTGGGTCCAAGAACGCTATAAATATGCATCAATTTGCAGCATGGATGGGTCAATGGGAATTATGTTGAGAAACCTTTAGTATATGAATATGGTAAAGTTACCATATTATTTACTTATCTAATTACATGTCATGTCATTTAATTCAATGCTTTGTAAGTTAAAAGGGTGAGTGATCGGCTAAGAGTAAAAACCAACCCAAAATAAGAGTTCATAAAATACATAATAGGACGTCTCCATTAGGAGAATTTTTATTGGATTTTTCATAGCCTTTTGCCATATGAAGGAGAGAGAGAGAATGGAAAGAGAGAGTTTGAGCTCTTTCTGAAAAGACTCAAGATTTTACAGAAATGTGAGACTCACGGCAGAAAAAGCACACCCTCACCGCCCATGCATGAAAGTAGTTACAACTGCGCTCAGCAGCACTTGCTAGACCGGTGCTCACTGCGCACAAGGAACCCCCCTCACTTTGAGAGGTTACTCAACTACACTGCCGCTGGTGAGACTCGATCTGACCAGTTGAGCTACCCATGCAGGCTTAAAAATAAATTTCATAAATCAATTTTGGATTGTCTAATTATTTTATTAATTTATGAGTTGTTCATCGTGAGGTCAACCCTTATTTATACACACTGGTACAACACAATTTGTGTATATTTACCATGGTTGAAAAAATCGCTAGGCGCCCATCGGGTGCTCGAGGAGCGCCTAGCGCCTAGGGCACCAATGTATTTTTTATTTTTTAAAAATTTCTTTAAATTTTTTAAGACTTGATAATTATAAACTATTTGATACTTTAATACTAAAATATTAAAATATTAATCTAAAAAACATCTAGAGTTTGAACAATTTAGGGTTATTTCGCTTAAAACGATGTTGTTTTGAGTGAAATAACTCATTTAAAAAAGAATGGATCAATAGTTAATTGACCGACTTGGAGATCTAGTCGGTGCCTAGGAGACCTAGTTGGCGTCTAGGAGGCCTAGGCGACCGACTGCCTTGGCGGCCTAGTCGTTGCCTTGGCAGCCTAGTCGGTGCCTAGAAGACCTAGTTGGCGTCTAGGAGGCCTAGGCGGTCGCCTAGCCGGCCAGGTGCCTAGACCACCGATTATGGTGATACGCTAGGCGGCCGGCCAACGCCTAGCGCTTAGGCACCGATTACCGATTAATCGGTACCTAGGTGGGATTTTTGCAGCATTGATATTTACTACTAGTAACATATTACGTGTCGATTTTTAGTATTCATATTTATTTTTAATAGCTTTATTATATTTTAATTAAATTCATTTTTAGTGTACTATTTGAAAATAAACTTGTCAATAATTCACACTAAAATTAGTTACCTTAAGCTCTGAATATATATGCTGTGCTGCATTCTCTCCTTAAATTGGCAAAGAATACAGATAAATGGGAATGATAACAGAACTAAAAGAGAAATTAGTTGCACAAAGGCAGGCCATAGGAAAGCAGATATGCACAACTGATTAAAAGAATACTCCCATTTTCATTCAACATCAACAATGCTGGAACATGATTGGCATTGCCAAATGAATGCTAAAAATAAAAATAAAAAAAAAAAAAAAAAAAAAAAAAAAAAAAACCAATTTCCATCCAACAACCGGATTCCAGTTCCAAAGAGCATATGAATCAATAAGATAGTACAACATAAAAATTGGAAAAATTAAGTAAAATAACCACTTAATCCCAACCTACTAACAAGTTAATGCCCCTAAGGCTAAGGGGAATCAGGAATTCTGAAGCAGAAACAGAACGTCGGGCCATGATCCCCCCACGGGAGCCTCTCACAAGTCACAACAACCATCAAAGAATGACTAATAATTATATGCTGCTTCTTCCCTTGATTCTGCCTGGAACTATTACAATTTGGCGACTTTTGGAACTTCCACCGGGAAGTTGTGAATTTCATCCATCCATGGATTTTTCTCCTTAGCGGGGTTGATAGTCCTTAAAGCTTTCCAAACTGCACTATTACACTTGAACCCAGAGCCGAATGCTATCTGCCAAGTTCTGTCGCCCTTCCTAATCCTTCCCTTGGATTCTGAGTAGGATAATTCGTACCAAAGTGAGCTACTCGAGGTGTTTCCGAATCGGTAGAGTGTCATCCTTGAAGGTTCCATGTGCCAATCGGAGAGCTGCAAGTTTTTCTCCAATTCATCCAGCACTGCCCTTCCACCAGCATGAATGCAGAAGTGCTCGAATGCCAACTTAAAATCTGGTATGTATGGCTTAATCTTCATTTTGAAGATTTTTCTACCAACCAATGTGGCAAAGAAAAGCAACTGCTCGGACATGGGAAGCACGAGAGGACCCAGTGTAGTGATATTGGTCTTGAGAGCATCACCGGCAACTGCCATCAGTTCCTTCGACAGAGAAACTCCCACCTTCCCATTCGCATCCTCCAACTGGGTAATGCAAGAAAAGCATTTGTCATCGGAGCCTTTGTGGGTTCTAACCGTATGGACCAACTGGTATTTGGATCGTCTTCGATCGGACCTTTTGTTTGAAAGCAAAATCGCAGCCCCTCCCATCCGGAATAAGCAGTTTGGAAGCAGCATTGATTTCTCATTCCCGAAATACCAGTTCAATGTGATGTTTTCCATGCTGAGCACCAAGGCGTAAGTATTGGGATGGACTTGAAGGAGATCTTTGGCAAGGTCAATGGAGATCAAACCAGCACTACAACCCATTCCACCAAGATTATAACTAACAATGTTTCCACGAAGCTTGTAGTGGTTCACAATCATCGCAGACAAAGAAGGGGTCGGATTAAACAAGCTGCAATTCACGACTAATATCCCAATGTCTTTTGGCTTAATACAAGTTTTCGCAAGGAGCTCATCAATAGCTCCAAACATCACAGTCTCGGCTTCTTTTCGTGCTTCTGCCATGCAAGGATTAGGTGGCACTCTTAACACAGCTTCAGGAAGATAAGTCGATTCACCAAGACCCGACCTCTCAAGAATCTTCTTTTGAAACCTGAGGTTCTCCTCAGAGAACGTCCCAGTCAACCCGGACCTCTCCATGAAAATCTGCCTTGTGCACTTCCTAGCCTCCTCTGGCTTGTAGCAAGAGAAATCCACAAGGTACACAGGGCGGGGACGAGTGAGGAAATAAAGGGTGGACAAGAACACCAAAAGGGTGGAGCAAATGATGACAGAAATGAGATTGAATCTAAGATGATCCCACAAAACATAAACATCTTCCAGGGAGAAGGTAGAGAGTTGAGCAGCAATGACCACAACAAGGGGGGACAAAAATAGGTACATCCCATGGGTGATAAGGTAGTGGTATCCAAGTTTCACATACTTCAATTTCACAGACTGTTTGAAATCAGGCAGTTTTCTTGAAGATCCCTCCTCTTGTTTTGGTTCACTCATTTTCATCTCTGCCACTGCTTTGGATTCACTCATCCCACTGAAATTCAAACAAATCAAAATTATTATCCACTATTTTAGTAAAACCTCAAATAGTTTACCCTACAAAAGAGAATACAAGATCTGGGCAAAGTTGCAACAAAGAATTTGCAGATTAGACAAGGATCCAAAAATAGATTTCAAAAATTTTTCACTTTTTTTCAGCTCTAGAGTGCTTGACTGTTTAATAGTTTCTCAAGAACCTCCAAATCAAACTATAAACAGCTTCTAGTCTTCTACATCCAAGAATTTAAAAACCATAGCTACAGAAAAGGTGAATTTTTATACATAAAGGTAAATTTACACTTTACAGGTAACATAAAATTAAAAAAAATTAAAAAAAAAAATTACTTTTCCAGATTCAAAGGGAAACATCAACATTGGCATTCAGATGAAGATCTGAAACATCTGACGGGAAAAATCACAAGCAAACAAAACAAACACAGAAACACATAATTTATATTACATACACAGGTCAAAGAAGTTTGAATTTAGCAGAGACCTAGATCAGAGAGGAGACCAACCTTGTTGAAATGCGGAAAACCCCAAACCGCTGGCCACGGAGAAACCTAATAGCGTATAGAGAAGAGAGAGAAAGCGAGGGAGAGAGAGAGAGAGAGAGAAGAGACAGAGAGAATTGGCTTGGAGATGAGATGTGTTATGCCTGCCTGTGAGTCCTGAGATGAATAAATAAAGGGTGCATGGAGGCTACAATGTGAATTTCTTGATTCTATTATTATTGTTTATTAGTTGTACGCACAAAAAAATAAAAAATAAATAAATAAAAATTAGTTGTACGCACAAACGTGGGCCCTACTATTTTATTTATTTTTTTTTGGTGATAAATTCAATTTCTATATCCTTACGAAAAAAACTTTTATTAAATATTTAAAATCGATAATTTTCATTGAATTTATGTTCAATCTGGATATTTTTTTTGCTTATACGTGACTATTTATCACTCATAGGCGACTATTCATTAATCATAAGCCCTTAATTAATCCTCTTACAATAAATAACAATCTTGACTGCTTATTTCTCAAAAAAAAAAAAAAATCTTCACTGCTTGATTGAGTTAATTGTGCAATTAATTTGATAACTATAAAATTTTAAATTTAATTTTTTATGAGAATTATTTAATAGTATTAAGAATGTGTGATGAAATCCTAATAATAAAAAATTATAATAGAAAATAAAATTACTTATCTATAAATTTTTTCGTATCTTTGGTCCCACGAGTATTGTGATACTAACATGATTGCTTCACGACTTTTCAATTTTGCAAACGTGATCTACGACTATCATTTTTTTAGCACAAATAATTCTTCTGGCTAAATTTTCGTCCACGGCTCAAACGGGAAATTTTTTTTTTCTAGTCATAAATGGACAAAAATTGAATCGGGAGGACTATTTATGCTAAAAATAATAATAATAAAGTCATGGATCGAATTTGTAAGGTTTGTAAATGGTGAAACAATCCTATTAGTACCACAATACTCGTAAGATTTAAAGTGTGAAAAACTCTTTTATCTATATGTATCTCTTGAGAGTATAATTAATTTTAAATTTATTTTGTATAATCAGATTAACTAGGGAGCATAAATAATAAAGTGGGATGATGAAGACAGAGAGACAGACAAGCAATGAAGTTTAAGAATTCACAAATATAATGTGGGGATGAAAAAGAAATTAAACATACACATAAGACACATATAAATGTCAAATGCGAGTAACGGCTAAAACGTAGTTTCGTGAGGTTTTCTGAGTCCGCCAGTCGTAGTTGACCGTTGAAAATGAAGTCGGAGAAGGTGTGGCGGCCGTATGCACAATGCCCATGCCTCCTTTAATGGACTCTCCCTTCTAGATTCTCACATCACTCCATTCTTTATCATGTTGACTTTTAATTTCTTGGACAAATTATATTGGAAAATGCTACTCATTTTGTCTTTTATCTTGTACTCCTACACACAAAATTTTGATGCAAACATTTGTATTCGACCCTACAGGAAAGTAACTATTAAGGATTATAATTCATAGGTATTAACATGTCCAGGGCATCTACATTGTTCTGTGATAATTTAGGTGCAACATACGTGTGCAAGAACCCAGTCTTCCAGTCTAGGATGAAGCACCTAGCATTGGATTATTTTTTTGTCAGATATATGGTTACTAATGATTCGCTGTGTATGCGTCATGTCTCGTCGTCTGACCAAGTAGCAGATGTGTTGACGAAGCCATTAGGCCGATCACTGTTTCTGCGGTTCCGTTCCAAAATCAGTGTCACCGATGGTTCCTCCATCTTGCAGGGGCGTATTAAGGATTATAATTCATCTATTGTTTAGTTTAGCTTTATTCTCCATTAGAGTAAGTCTTCTTTGTTGTGTAACTTATCTCCTGTAATGTCTCTTGGTTGTACCTATATATGCTTCTGCTCTTTAATGCTTAATACAACAATTTATATTTTCCCTTCATAGTAACTTATCAGAATTCACCAGATCAAGAAGTAAAAATTTAGAAAGTAAGATTAGAGAGTACATGTAGTAGATCAGAACTCAATTACATTATATTCTTATACAAATCCTTAAATTATGATGATTAATAAGTTTATATATACTTTTAGGTTTTAATTGAGATTATGATATTAATTCTGTTCTTACGTACGTAAGTCATTCCAATGATAGGAGATGATTACAATCTTTTCAAAACTTGAAGACCAAAATAGTAAGGATGGAGATCAAAACCAATAGTTATGATGTGGAAACGTGTTCACCATGCGCATGGTGAATACAAGGGTAGATCCATAATTTCTATACTGTATATTCATAATTTTTTTTTTTTTTTTGAAAACGTATATCCATAATTTTGTTTTTCATTTGTTATTAACGAGATAAATTCATAATTTCTAAGCTGTAGATTCATAATTTCTATACTGTAGATTCATAATTTCTGTATTGTAGATTCATAATATCTGTAACAACAAATGAAAAACAAAATTATGAATCTACAGTATAGAAATTATGGATCTATCCATGTGTTCACCATGTGCATAGTAAACAGGTTTCCACAACATAATTTGCGGATCAAAAAACAACGTAGCTTGTTTTGAAACTTGAAAATCATATATGAACAAGGGAGGGTTCAAGTAAGAAAAGGTTTCACATGTAATTAAGAATTGATCTAATCCATAGTTGAAAGTTGTTGAAAAAGAGAGGAAAATTGGTGAGATAAGTTTTATAAATATTACAAACTTAAAAATTTAATAATTATAAAACCTATTCTCGTGTTTTTTTTTTTTTTTTTTTCACAAAATCCTCATCATTGATAAATCTTTATAAGTTATTGTTATTAGTCCTCACTTTTTGCAATATGGAGTTGTTCTAATTTGAATACACTCCCATATTATTGAGTTTTGGACCCGAAAGTGTTAGAGATTAATTAGAACTTTTTCGTGGACTATATAAATTGTTAAGAATAAATAAAAATGGTGAAATATTTAAAATGTGTAACTTGCCTTGTGGCCTTAGCCTGCAAAGGATCGCAATAAGATAAAATGACTGAGGTTACTATTGTTCTCGGTTGGTAAAGTAAAAGTCTAGGAGTGGGGGATCAGAGAGAGTGGATAGACTTTTACAACTTTTTAAATAGAGTAAATACCCAAAATGGTCCTTCGACTATAGCTAAATTCACAAATTGGTCCTCGACTTTTAATTTTAACCAATTAAGTCCTTAACTTTGCAATTTTAACACGATTTGGTCCTCCGTCTATTTGACCGTTTGTTGACTGTGATTTTTGAGGATATATATGTAATTTCATGGTCCATCGTCGATTTTTTAAGGTTCCGGTTGCATTTCCAGACCGCACTATCACATTTGAATCTATTGTCGAAAGCAATCTGCCAAATCATGTCGCCTTTCTTCATCCTCCCTTTGGATTCAATGTAGTTGAGTTTGTACCAGAGCGAAGAAGACGACGTGTTTCCGAGTCGGTGCAGCGTCATCCTAGAGGCCTCAATGTGCTCCCACAAGAGCTGCAGGTTCTTCTAGAGATCGTTGATGACGGCGTGGCCGCCGGCGTTGATGCAGGAGTGTTCGAAGGCCTGTGTGAAGTCTGACACGATTGTTTGTGGTGTTGGACCTAATGAAGATTGAAAATTGGGTTGTAGTGCCGACAATGATGAATTACGAGAAGGTGTTTGGGCGGTGGATTGTGTCGTGGGAGTATGCGAAGGTGTTTGGGCGGTGGAGTGTGTCATGGCAGTAGATGAGGGCGGCTGGGCAGTGACTTGTAGCTGGGAGATAGACTGTATCACGGCAGCGGATGAGGGCGGGCGGCGATGAAATTACATATATATCCTCAGAGATCACGGTTAACAAACGGTCAAATAGACGAAGGACCAAATCGTGTTAAAATTGTAAAATTAAGGACTTAATTGGGTAAAATTGAAAGTCAAGGACCAATTTGTAAATTTAGCTATAGTTGAGGGACCATTTTGGGTATTTACTCTTTTAAATATCACCTTTTTTGAGCTTGATTCAAGCAAATAAGTCTATAGAATTTCAAGGATTAGCTAGAGTATGTGCACAACGGAATAATTTGTGTCATACAATAAAGGTGATGAAATTAGATTTAAGAAAATATTACTACAAGTAATGAATGGTTAAAGTATGCGAAAATATAATGCTTTTAAAGGAAAATAATGAACAACAAATTTATAATTGTTCGAAAGTGTATGTAATCCTTCTACTCCTATCTTCAGGCGAAATTCACTATATCCACCCGTTCGGTAGCCAACACTATTTTCAAGATTTCACAATTCCTTTGTTGCTTTCCTCTTTATGCACAAGATTTAGTGTTTTGATCACAAAACCAACACTAATCTTAAGATTTCACAACTCATGTGTTACTTTTCTCTTTTTATCTTCGGTAGAGATCTTTACTCAAAGAAATAAATTTTCTTTGTCCAACTTAGAAACTTTGAATGAGTAATCTCCTTCTCTGCTAGATATCTCTATGAAACTTCTAAGAATGAATAGAACTTGAAGATGATTTTTGCTCTTGATGTTTTCACTGTTTTCCCTTCTATATTTTCTTCAAGTACTCTTCATGCCTTTTTATAGATGATCAAAATTTTATCACTTAGAGAGGTATATTTTTTTATTCATTACAAGAAAAATCACGATTCGCCACCTAAAAATTTCGTCGCAAAAACTTAAAATTCTGTCTCAAATCTCAAAAGCATTTTGAGACAGAATTTTGCATTTTTGTGACGAAATCCATTCCGTAGTCTTTAGGCTTGTCATATTTCATTTTACAACGAAAACAATCCATCGCGTGCGGTGGCGACGGAAAACGGCAAAGGATTTTTCCGTCGCAAATTAGGCGATGAAAATTCTTCTGTCGAGAGTCCGTCGCAGTTTTGACAACAAAAATGTTTCCTTTCATTCGTTTCCATTCACGTAAAATAATATTCCGTCGCGGAACTCATATTACGTCGCATATTTTCATTGTGAAATTTACGATGAAAATTGTTTTTTTTTTTTTTGAATGTACGATGAAAATTGTTATTGTCGCGATTACGTCACTAACCTTTCTGTTAGGAAAATTTGTATTTAGATTTTGATGATGTCAAAAGATTAGGAATTTTAGTCCCCAACTTATTTTATTTTCTTGACTTAGAATTTGT